AAGGATGTCTGTGATAATATTCAACAAATTCCTGTCCACCAAACATCTGTAATAAATTAGAGGAGATGGAAGAAAGGAAGCAAGAGAGTAGCTTTGGATGATGTTGAAAGAAGATGGATTTTATTTTTGTTCCCTTTACCTTTTTTCCCTTCATGTAGCATTTCCACGCAGAAATTGCAAATTAATGGTCACATCGAACTGTCAATGTATTACTGCTCCTTCAGTATCAAATTATGTCGGCAATAATGTTTCCAGCTGCCTAGGACTCCATTGCAGTTTAATTTGAAAGGAACTCAAATCGTATCTCCAAATGGATAAAAAATTAATTTTACATACAAGGTATCCACCTCCACATTTTCAGCCCCACGCCCCAAATTATCTCAATTTAGGTTCAACTTTGAATAGTACGTATGTTACAGCCGACTCCACGTGCAAAGATGAATACATAGAAAATTCACGAATTGGAAATCTGCTTTGCTGCTCCTTTTTTTAAATAAGGTGTTCTGCCTTGATTAAGGTCATTAGGAGATTCTACAGCTATTGCCTTTGACAGCAGGAATGGAGGCTGGGTCCATATAAAACAAGAGGCTGGAATTCTAACTTAACCACATAATTACCTTAACAGCTGGCGTATAGAGAGAGCCCTGATTTCACCCCTTCACTTACTGCATTTCCCCTGCAGGATGTTAAGGCCTTGATTCTGGTTTGGTCTGCAGTTATCCCCTGCTTTCTGTATTTTACTCATTCTTCATTTATTAATCAGCTATATGTCCAGTTTTAAAAATGAAGAGATCTAGGTGCTCACAGGTTAGCAGGGGAGGTGAGCGTGAACCGAGCATCCAGACGTTAATCTACAATTTGATAAGGACTATGGGAGGGTATTAAAGAAGACAGATGGTTCATTCTGCCTGGGCAAGAAAGGCTTTTGGAGAAAGTTACAAAGAAAGGGTGGCATTGGAGCCCGGCCTTGAATATATTGAATAGGGATTTGCCAGTGGCAGCCCAAGCAGAGGGAAGATGGAGGTGTAAAAGGATTCAGGATGCAACACTCACTGTGCTTTAGGGATGTAGGGCTCAAAGAGTGAGCAGTGGAAAACGAGGGAGGGAATTTGGAGGTGGAAAGGGACATGTTGCAGGTTGGGCTCTGGTATTAGGTTGAAAATGGTACTTCAGTAAGATCTAACATGGAAAGGAGAGGAGTGGTCAGTGATCAGAAGTGAGGAGGCCCACCCTACCTTTCCAGAGGCAGCTGCAGAACAAAGAAGCTTCTGAAAATATGAGTTAGTCAGTCACACACACACATATACACTTGTCCCTCACATATGTAAGAACACAAATGGGTCTGGGACAAGATACACACACAGACCTGCAGCCTCTTTCCTTCTCCTTTCACCTGACTCCATCCCTCCCCACAAAGGTCTCCTCCTCCAAACAGCCACACTCTGGTCACCCGTTGGGCCTAGGGGTACATACATGGAATATGGTGTGACCTTGGATGGCCAAACCAAGGGAAGAGGTTCACACAGCCCCAGAAATGAGTTTGAAGCCACTGGGACAGGGAATTCTAGGCTGTCAGGTGTCTGGAGCCTGATCCAGAATGGGGAGCCCAAGGACCAGGTGGAGACGTTGGCCCATTGACTCCTGCTTCAGGAGGGGGGCAGAGTCTGCAGATGGCCGGAGTGTGCTCCTCAATTCACAGGACTCGGGACAGGGCCCTCATTGCCAAGTCTAAGGGCATAGAGACAGTGAACCCGGAGGCCAAGCCACTTTACTTTTCCATCAGAGGAAGACTTTCCAGCTTCCCAGGTAAGCCACACTCTCTTCCCACTGTATGCCATCTCAGTGGCCTGTAGGCTGTTACTCAAGAAGGTCATATGCACGGAGTCTTATCTGGAGGCAGAAACCATAGGCTCTAGGCTTGGGCATATTTACACGAGGGATGTAAGTTCAACAAACCAGTCTCCACTGCACACACAAGGCTTTCTCAGCAATTTCTGACTTGTTTGTACCAACCGGAATGTAAACCTGAGACCCTACCTGCTGTAGGCAATTACCGGAGCAGAAGCTGGGTTTGGCATCTGATGTTTGGGGGCGTTACAGTGAAAGCATGAATGCCTCCATCATACATTTTGAAAACTAGTTTCCATCATGTAGTATCTTAAGACGTTCTCTTGCTTGAATTGAAAAATAGTTAAGTTCACCTTAAAGACTCGGTGACGTGCTAGAGGGGACAGAACAGGGGACTGTGGAGTCAAGGGGGTCCAAGCTCAGTTCTCAAAAACAGGTCACCATCTGTTCATCTCAGTTTAAGCAACATGAACTGGCCCATCAGCGGACGCAGTACCATGTGCTGGGGTTGCTGGACAAACAGCACATGGTCCCTTGCGGCCTGGGAGGAATGATGTATAAAGGAACAAGCGGTTCCTAGAAAGCGTGACGGATGCTCAGTGGGCTGGATAGCTGTGCAAAGTGCTGTGGGAGTCCAGAGCTGGGGACTTAGCTGTGTGGCCCTGGGCAAGTCATGTCCCTTCGTTGGCCTCAGTTCCCTACGTCGGACAGTTGTTTTCAGCACGCAACTGCCCAGCCCATAGTTATTGCTTAATAAAGAGCCGCTGTCTTGCCCTTTCTTGAATGCTAGTTCTCGAACTTACAGAACACTTTCACCCACGTGTATCTAATCCACAGGGCCACCAGAGGTCTTGTCTTTTGCACTTGAACTGAGATGTCCTTGAACCTCTTAATTCCATAGCCTGAGAAAGCCCAAATCATCTCTCAAGGTGTCAGTAACACACATGGACATATTTTCCAAGTCCCCTTTGCCTCTGGTCCCTTTGTACCCATGCAACATCTTATTTGGCCCAAGTGAGGCATGCAGATCTCAGAAGCCCCAGGAAATCAAATCACAGCCAATCATCTTGTGGTATTTTGAGGACCCTGTTGAAGACTAGGAGTCACATGAGAACAATCCCATTGAGCTCCACCCAAAATACACCATCTTGTTCACCCGCATCCTCTCCTATTCAATCCCAGCAGCCAGTGAGTTCATTTTTCTCTTCCTCTAAAGGCTAAGCACAGCCGATCCCAAGGCCCTGGGACTGCAGCGTCTACTCCAAACAAGCTTCTTAAAGCATTTCTCCAAGAAGGGCCATTGTCTCTAAGAGGAACGCCCACTGTTAGGTAGAGACAATTTTCTCTCTCTCTTTACAGTTCATTTTATGCACATTAACGGCCCTCTGAGATTAACGCAATAATTTCCACTTTATAGATGAAGAAATGAAGGCTCAGAGATGCAGTGTCTTTGCCCAAGGTCACACAGCTAGTGAGGTAGCATGGTGGGCGGGGTGGGGGGCGGGAAGTACACGGATTGAATCTCTAGCCTGTGCTTCACTACTCCCAGCGAAGAGAGTCTGACAGAAGAACTTATGGGGAATGCCAGTCATAAAAGAAGTTACGCTTCTATCGTAACAAGTGCCTAAACCGTATAGAATGAGCTTTACATATGGGGATTAAAAAAAGAAAAGTTTTGTTTTTTATTATCTGTTGTGCACAAACACATCTATTTAATTTTTGTGTAAAGTGTAAATGGAATATTCATAATAAAATGAACATAGCCGATGTTATATATGGGGGTCTGGGACCAAGATCAGTAGGGAGGGCTGGAATGGGAGACAGCGCTAAGGTGAGAAGGCATGATCAGATCTGTTGTTATTTTTTTAAATTAAAGTATAGCTGATTTATAATGTTGTATTCGTTTCCGGTGTACAACAAAGTGATTCAGTTATATATATATATTCCTTTTCATATTCTTTTCCATTAAGGTTTATTATAAGATATTGAATATAGTTCCCTGTGCTACACAGTAGGACCTTGTGGTCTCTATGTATAATACTGTGCATCTGCTAATCCCAAACTCTCACTCCTTCCCTCCCCGGAACCCCCTCCTCCTTGGCAACCACAAGTCTGTTCTCTATGTCTGTGAGTCTGTTTCGTAGGTAAGTTTATTTGTGTCATATTTTAGATTCCACATATAAGGGATATCATATGGTATTTGTCTTTCTCTTTCTGACTTCCTTCACTCAGTATGATAATCTCTAGGTCCATCCATGTAGCTGCAAATGGCATTATTGCTTTCTTTTTTATGGCTGAGGAATATTTCATTGTATATGTATGCTACATCTTCTTTATCCATCCCTCTGTCAATGGACATTTAGGTTGTTTCCATGTCTTGGCTATTGTGAATACTGCTGCTGTAAACATAGGGGTGCATGATTCTTTTTGAATTACAGTTTGTCTGAATATATGCCCGGGAGTGGGATTGCTGGATCAGATCTGTTTTTAGAATGATGCCCCTGGAGGGGCCTGTTTGGAAAAAAGTGGAGAGGAAAGAAGGAAGGGTTGAGGACTGTTGTGGGAGGCTAGGAAATGATGAGTTGTGTTGTCAGTGAAAGGAAGGGAAATTCCAAGGCACTGTCAATGGGTCACAGTGACCTGTTGAGGATGCTGTGTGTTGAGGATGCAATTTGATTTCTAGACTGTGCACCTCAGTGTGAACTAAAGTGGTGAACTAAAGAAATGGGGCTGGTTTCTCAAGGAGGGGGATGTGGCCATGTGAAATGTAAAGAGGTAGATCGGAACTCCAGCATCCTTCTCAATTAGTATTTCCCCAAAGTGCTGTTAGTGGTACCCAACATGGTTTTTGGTGGTACCCTGATGAAAACAACTTTGCATTGTTTTAAATGGTAAACATTTATTTATGGCAAGTGATTCAGGTTTTCCCTTTAAATAGTTGTGTTTTCTTTTAGATGCCTTATTTAAAAAAGAAGAAGGAGTTTGATTTACAGAAAAATGTTAATTATACTCTAGGTGGCGAAATCAGGAAGGCAGTGGCTGAGTGATTGGGCTGAGTTTGAAGAGCTGTTCTCCCCTGTTTTAGCAGGGTCTCCACCCCACCTTCCTGACAGCCTCCTCAGAGCCCTGTGTCTTGCGTGTGTGTCTTGCAGACCCGGTGCACGGCCCGCAAAACGTGGAGATCGTGGACATCCGAGCCCGGCAGCTGACGCTGCAGTGGGAGCCCTTCGGCTACGCGGTGACCCGCTGCCACAGCTACAACCTCACGGTGCAGTACCAGTACGTGTTCAACCAGCAGCAGTACGAGGCCGAAGAGCTCATTCAGACCTCCTCCCACTACACCCTGCGGGGCCTGCGCCCCTTCATGACCATCCGGCTGCGGCTGCTGCTGTCCAACCCCGAGGGCCGGATGGAGAGTGAGCAGCTGGTGGTGCAGACGGAGGAGGATGGTGAGTGTGGCGGTGCACGTGCTCACTCGGGAACGGGGAATGCCAGACCTGCTCGGGGGGCCATGCCTAGCGCTTAGGAGGTTTTATGTTTCCTGCGTCTTTCATCTCTCTGTTGGTATATCAGCCCCTTTTCTAAGCTCTTCAGTAAAGCACCACACAGGCTATGCAGTGCACAACTCCAAGGGGTGCTGTCCCCCTAGACAATGGCAACTGTGTCGCAGACACACGCTCAAGTTTGACCTTTCTACGTACCCATCTCTCTTCTCACTTTATACCACCTGCTACACCAGCGTTTAACCACACTGATGCCTCCCGAAAGAGAAGCTGTGTATTGATAGTATTGTTGAAGCATGTTGAGTTTGGGAATCAGACGGCTCTGGATTCTGTAAGAATAAGGATCAGAAAATACACTTAAAGAACTTGGCACACACATTGAATGCACCCAGAACCGCATGTTCACCTGGGTGTCCTACAGGCGTCTTCAAAAGTACCCAGAAACAGGGCTTCCCTGGTGGCGCAGTGGTTGAGAGTCCGCCTGCCGATGCAGGGGACGCGGGTTCGTGTCCCAGTCCGGGAAGATCCCACATGCCGCGGAGGGGCTGGGCCCGTGAGCCATGGCCGCTGGGCCTGCGCGTCTGGAGCCTGTGCTCTGCAACGGGAGAGGCCCCAACAGTGAGAGGCCCGCGTACCTCAAAAAAAAAAAAAAAAGTACCCAGAAACGAACTGTCTCCTCTTCTATACAGACTTCTCTCCCATTGTTCCTCACGTCAATGAACTGCATCTACTAAGTCAAGATAAATACCTGAAGTCAGCCTGGGTGCCTCCATCTGTCCCTCCCCATCCCCCAGCTCCACGCACACAAGGTTCCGATGAGTTTGCCTTCTGCAGTTTATCTTCCAGCATGCCTCTTAAGACTCCAGGAAGAGAGAGCCACGTGTACTTCCTAGAACACATCTCTTTTTCCCGCCCTTGTCTCCTTGCCCATGCCGCTCTGTTTCTCCTGCTCAGAATGACCTCTCCTCCACGTTTGTGGGACGAATTCTATTTACAATCTTCCAAGTCTTTGCTCATGTGCTGCTTCCTCCAGAAGCTTTCCCTGAGTGCCCCAGGCCAACTTGGGTGTTCTTCTCAGACCCCTGCTGTATTTTGCATGTAACTCCGCCACCGTGGTTATGTTATTTATGGTAGGACAGGACTTGCTGGTTCTAGGACTTATCTAAGAAACACTTCTCTGTGACCGTATTTCAGTTTTCCTTCCAGCCAGACTGCTTCTGGCCTCGAGGGGTGTCTTTAGTTAGTTTCCTGGCATCAGGCTCATGTGGATTGATCTGCAAATGATCGATTAAGGAAGGTTTCCCAGGGGAGACTGGGGAGGGAGTGGGGGAAGCAGGACAGTGAAGGGGGGGAAGCCCAGGTACAGCTTCAGGCCAAATCCAGGGGGCTGTGACCTGGGCCTGCAGGAGAACTCTGTAGGGCAGGTTATGTATCACTATCGTTCCAGATCACGGCTGCCAGCCAATGGTTGGGTCTGGATTGGGGATGGAGGATTGGGAAGTAAATTCTCAGGAACTTTTGGCTTTCTACACATGCAGACAAAACACCGAAGGGCACAAAAATGGCATAAACTGACTAGAAGGGATCCGGGCAGAACTCTGTCATTGTTACTACATGAGGCAAATCCTCACACTTGATTCAAAGCAGAGCCTCTTCCATGGCGGTCCTGTCTAGTACTCTTATTTCATATAAGCAAGTCGAAGGACCCCTGAGTGATGGTCCCTGGCGGGATCCAGACCCACACCCTCAGCCGCAGAGTCCCACAAGGAGATAGAGGAAGGAGCTCCAGCCTCTCACCTTGTCTCCCGATTCTCACATCACCCCGTCCCATCCTAGACCTGGAAGTTTTATCAAACCTGCCTTCATGACAAACCCTTCCTGATCCCCTTTAAATTCATCCTCACAGCCACTCTGTTCGCAGCCCCTGTATACTGTGCTTCTAGGTAGCAGTAGCAGTGGGGACTCAGCCTCTGTCACCTTGTTCCCCCACCTTCCTATCTTGTAATGAACCTCAGTCTTCTGTGGGTACAGCTCTCCCCAAGACCAGCTTCTCCAGAAGTTCTGAGTGCCCTGTTTCCTATGAGCCTGTTGCCATCCATCCTCCGACAGAGAGGGTCAGACATCTCATCTTGGCTTCATTTTGCAGCCCAGGACATGTGGCCCTGGATTTAGCTTCTGATAAAGCTGCCAAAACTTTCCCAAGATCTGGCTCCATTGTTTCAAAAATGTACAGCCCCTTCCTCCAGCATGTAGAATAATGCCCTCTTTGAGAAGGCAGACTCTGCAGCCAGATACGCCTGGAGCAAGTTGCTTAACCTCTCAGTGCCTCGGTTTCTCATCTATAAAAAGGAGATAGTAATAGTACCTACCTTACAGGTTGTTGTGCTCATTAAAAAGGATGGTGTATATAGAAATTGGAATCATGCTCATCAGATTGTAAGTTTTCATTAAATGTAGCTACTACATTTGCACTAAAAAAAAAAAAAAAAAAAATCTTGACAAAGAATCCTCTAGCACAACCAACCCAGAAAGCACCCACCCATCTCTGCAGAGCTATAGACGTCCACTGTAACTGGTTGTAGGTTATGACATGGACTTTCAAGGAGTGGCGATGTGGTCAGTGCCTGGTTGGAGAGGCAGAGTTGGGGCGAGTAGGGGGTTTAGTGACAAGTGTTCATGAGGGACCTGGTTGTTAGACAGGGAGGAGCCACTGTTGAGAACCAGCATGAAGATTCAGGATGCAGAAGATGAACAGGAGGGTCTGGCCCAGGAACAGCTCAGGGCATTTTTTTGCCAGGATGCTCTGCCCACCTTGGGCTGCTTTTTGAGGGTTACCTACATGTGCAACAGCAAATCCCAAATCCCATCCTTAAGGCATGCCTCAGCCTCTCCCTTTCTTCGTCTTGTCGTCAGGAAAAGAAAAAATCACAAGGCCTTTATCAAAACAAATTGAGAGCAGCAAAGCTTTGAAATTAAATTTTAATCAAACACCGTTAATATCACATCCATTCCTGCTCTACCGAGATGTGTGGCCATTATCACAGTAAACACACCAACATTAGGACACCAGGCCTCCATCTTGTAGCCCTCCTGAGGCCCCACCTCAGGAACCACCGGGCTGCAGCAAAGTCTCAGAAGAGCACAGTGCCGTCTGCATGCCGGGATTAGGTTCCATTTCTCCTAAAGAGGGGAGAGGCACCATCTCTGTTTGCTGGGAGCTCATTCACCTCAAGGTCGAGCTGGGGATGGAGCTCAGCTCTAGTCCGTTAACCGAAACCCCCTTTGGGGAACCAAGGAGCAGCCTTGCAGATTGAGCTGACTGGATTCACGCTGCTTTCATCTGTGCTACAAAATTGTCTTCTGGGGAATATACGGAATTAGGAATTTCATCACCCCGGTTGCTTTCGTGAGCGTGTGAAGCAATCCACCACTGGTGAGAGGAGGTCATGGCCACTGAGCCCTGTTGCTTCATCTGGGAGGTCATCGTTAATAGGAGACTAAACAGGTTCTTTATTTTTCCCCTTTTCTTCACAAAAGTCTCGTACAAAACCGTGACTCATTTATTAGGTGGTTACTTCTCTGCCTTCAACCAGACCACAGCCAAGACTGTGAAATGGAATCTAGACACTCATAGGCATGTTATATTTTATACAATGACTCATACCCAAGATCTTACTTTGAAATGTTTCAAAACCATAGAAAATTTGAAAGAATAGTACAAACGAGATCTGTAAACCCTTCACTAGATTCAGCATTTCTGAACACCTTGCTATCTATGTTTTCATATATATATATGATACCTAGGTATGATATATTTGATATGGAAATATATATAAACATACATAGAATTTTTTTAACTCTTTGAAAGTAAGTGGCAGAAATCATGATACCTGACCCCTAAATTCTTTAGCATACATGACATGACCTAAGGATAAGGCCATTCTCCTCCATACCCACAGGACCATAGAACACCTAAGAAATTTAGCATTAATTTTAAAATAATCAAATAGATAATCCACATTCATATTTCCAATAATATTAAACCTGATTTTATGTGACAAACCAGAATATGAGACATGTTTGGCAAAAATGCTATATGGGTTGGTGATGTATATTTCTCACTGTATCATGTCAAGAGGTACATAATGTCAGGGAGCCCCCTCTACTGATGTTGCTGCATTGGTCCCTTAGATAAGATGGGAACCATCCAGTCCCTCCACAGTAAATGCAGCACCTTTTCTCTTCGTAAATTAGCTCACTTGTGCAGTGATGCTTTGAGATCCTTGAGGATCCTATTCCCCAAGAAATTTTTTTTAAATTTTATTGAAGTATAGTTGATTTACAATGTTGTGTTCATTTCTTCTGTACAGCAAAGTGACTCAGTTTTACATATATATATATATATATATATATATATATATATATATATATTCTTTTTCATATTTTTTTCCATTATGGTTTATCACAGGATATTGAATATATCAATAGTTCCCTGTGCTATACAGTAGGACCTTGTTGTTTATCCATCCTATATATAACAGTTTGACTCCACTAATCTCAAACTACCAGTCTTTCTCTCCTCTACCCCCTTTCCCCCTTGGCAACCACAAGTCTGTTCTCTATATCTGTGAGTCTGTTTTTGTTTCATAGGTATGTTGATTTGTCTCATATTTTAGATTCCACATATAAGTGATGTCATATGGTGTTTGTCTTTCTCTTTCTGACTTACTTCGCTTAGTATGATAATCTCTAGGTCCATCCATGTTGCAGCAGATGGCATTATTTCATGCTTTTTGATAGCTGAGTAATATTCCATTCGTGTGTGTGTATATGTGTGTGTGTGTGTGTGTGTGTATGTATCACATCTTTATCCATTTGTCTGTTGATGGACACTTAGGTTGTTTCCATATCTTGACTATTGTAAATAGTGCTGCTATGAACATTGG